CTAATAAAGTACGATGTTCTTACTTACTATATTGAGATGGAAGATCCTAAAAGCAAAATGTGCTAAGGACTAATTGTCCAAAATTATGCAGTCAAAGACCTTAGTGAGTTAATTTACAACCACTCCTTTTTTTTCCTTATTTAATTTGTGATTGTGAGGTTTTATCCTACTCACATAATTTAATATAAACATCTAATAATAGATAAGTTATATAATAAAAAATAAAATGAAAATGACTCTATGATGTAATGGTTATTAATTTTTATTAAGATTATCTCATGCTAGCTTAAGATATGTGAGATTCAAATATCACTCTAACATTCAAAATATACATATATATAATAAAAAAATAAAATAACATATAATTACTTTCATTTTTATTATATCAAAATTCAAAATTAACACCTCTTTCTTCCCCATTAAGTAGCTTCTTAGGACAGATGGCCTCTTTTAGTTTGGATGCTTCGATGTCACGGAAATTCTGTGTCTTTTCTTTCATTTTGGAGGAAAAGCTAAAAACACAACTATCTTTCCTCCAAAACATTGTTTGGAGATACCAGCCTAAAGCAGTCGTTGGAAATTCAATGCATCAAGCAACAGTCAGTTAGTTCCCTTATCTGTAAACCTGTTTTCCTTTTTAATATTAACATTTTTTCTCTTAAATAAACGTGCATATAAACATTGAAGCAACCAAGAAATTGAATTCAGTTGAACATGTTCAATGAACTTTTGAGGCATCTCAAAACTAATCACCACCAATTTTGATAGTTACAGTTAAGGGAGACATAACTTCAGGGAGGAAACATGGTCCATATCCCCGCCCGCCTACCAAGAATCTAGTTCCTTAGATTTTGCTTCTGCAAGGATTGTGATTTTTGGGGTTTTGTAGTAATTCAGACAATGTATATGAACAGTAATTAGTGTCCAAAGGGCAAGTTGGTTCATTGTATTTGTCTCTAAATTTTGCAACATGTTTAAAAATTTGCAAAAAACACTTTGATTTGATTGTTAATGACCCATTTGAGTTCAAATTCAATTTAATCTTGTCTTAATGATATCTATCAATTTTGAAATCTTGCACATATGCATTTGTTTAGTCGTAATGTAAGGTTGTGAACCTCTATTGACTTTATATTTTTTTGCTCAATTTCTACCTTATGAAGATTATAACGATTCAATTATGTGACTACTTGTGTCTTTCATGGAGAGGTAATTAAATTTGTCACAAAACTAGTAAATTTCTAAACCTTTTTCTTGTGTCAAACTCACATCCTACCGAAACACATGTTCTCCAAATACATGCAGCCTAAGTAGATACTTGGGACTGAAATTATTGGGAGGTAAGATCATGTCAATCTCAGGACTGAATTTGTACCAATACATGCATCCAGATGTGGATGAGTGTTTACCTACTTCTTACAGGTTTAATTACTTAAAGGAGGCATTTAGCATTTCTCTAAATTATGATTTCTTTACTTTGCATCAACCCATCTGCATTTGTTTATTGGTTGACCTCTGGGGTGTGACTAAAGCAGGTAACATGGTCAAACAAAATGGATTGCAGTTTCAAACAGTTAGGTCTATCTTGATTCCTAATCCCACAAGTGAATCCTACCTACGTTTGCTTTCTTTATTTTTTAGTTGACTTCTTAGCTTTTAGCGTTGCACCAGCTCAGCCTATGCATCTTATATTTGGACTACCCTAGTGTGTTGCTGTAACCTTTTTCTTTTTCTTCTTTCTTAATAGTACTTCCCTTATTAACTTAGTAGGATAAGGTAATGGCAGAATACCCAAATCCACCCCCAAAGTATAGTGGCAGGGACAAATCCACCCTCGAACAAAAAACGGGGACAAATCCATCCATAAAGTTTTCGACTTGAACAAATTATCTCAAATTTAACGTGTGACGTCATTTGACATCAGCAATCCGTTAATTCATTAACGGATTGCTGACGTCAGATGACGTCAAATTAACAGATTGCTAATGTCAAATGACGTCACACGTTAAATTTGGGGTGATTTGTCCAAGTTGAAAACTTTATGGATGGATTTATTCCTGTTTTTTGTTCGATGGTGGATCCGTCCCTACCACTATACTTTGGGAGTGGATTTGGGTATTTTGCCATAAGGTAATGCTTGAACATGGCTAATATCCTGCTAGTAAATGTAGGTTGAAAAGGGGATATACCTAATGCCTATCCATCACTTCACCAGAGATCCTAGTTTAGTTTTTTTTTTTATTTTTATAAGTATAATTGTTAATAGGTTAATAAGTTAGTATTATTAGATATTAGTAATTGGGGATTCAATCTCAAATCCACCAAAAATCCTAATTGATAAACATCAATTGGGGTGTTTATTTTAGCCTTTAAAAATAATTATTAATTAATAATTTTAATTAAATAAATTAAATATTTTAAAT